TATTTCCCTGTATGAAAGTCTATTTCACCTGTATCTTTAACAATTTTATGTTTTCAAGTTTTGTTTGGGCTCCGTTGAAACTTGAGAGTTTCCATTTCCAGACATCAATTTATTCTCAACAATAATTTTACAAGAGCGTAAAAATGCTTTGAAGTATTTGTTAAACAAACTCTTAACGAAGAAACTATCCATTATATTTTTTGAATGAAATACAAGAAAGGTACTAAGTGATAGATAACATGACAAACAGAAAAAGATTGAATGACTGTCATGAAGAAAAAGATTGAATGAAGGCTCTAGACTATATAGCCAATTTTAAACCAAACCATGTTGGTGCAAACTATAAATTGACCCTATCATAAAGGGTATATCAATTAGCAAAAAATTTGGATCATTTTCACACTTGTCTTGAACTATTCCCTACACCAGGTTGGTGAGAGTGGGGTCCAGCTATCAGGTGGCCAAAAACAGAGGTTAGCAATTGCAAGGGCTATATTGAAGAAATCAAGAGTGCTCCTACTTGATGAAGCAAGTAGTGCCTTGGACTTGGAATCAGAGAAGCATGTCCAAGAAGCACTGAAGAATTTTACAAGAGATACAACAACCATAATAGTCGCCCACCGTCTTTCTACAATCAGAGAGGCCGATAGCATCGCGGTGGTGAGAGAAGGGACAGTAGCTGAATATGGAAGTCACGATACTCTCCTAGCTTCCCATCCCAGTGGTTTGTATGCTAGCCTCATTCGTTCTGAAACTGAAGCCAATGCCTTTACTGGGTTTCAATAATCTTTCACTCTAATATTGTTCTGAACTTAGCATTGTGTACTGAGGCACCCATTGGTGAAATATCATTTGGATGCAGTTGTATAATGTCCACTTCAATGTGTTGTGGGTGGATATTTCTTTATGGAAAAAACTTCACTGGGATATTTATTGTATGATATGTAGATATTTTTTGGGATAATTCAAGCATATGTTTATTTCCTTTCCAAAAGTTTATTTACATGTTGTGTTGGACCAATTGCCACTTTAGGTCAACAAATTCACGCGAGAAAAGCCTGATGACTCGAGGCGATTTTGGAGTAGTTCACTTGGGATGCCAGCTTATATGGAAAATATGAATTTTACATAATGTTCATCTTTTTTTTTAAAGAGTTAAGGGTTATTTTTTTTCTTTGAATTGTACATAAAAGTTTACAAATAATTTTAAATTTAATTATGAGTTATTTATATCATTTAACCTTAAATATTTTTGTTTCTATCACTCTATTGTTTTCTTCATTAATTTTGACTTAATGGGTCCCATGCTTAAATTTTTTAATGTTTTAGTGGATCCTACTATTTTTTTTATAATTTGTTATAATATAAAAAATACCCTCTCTCTTCACCATCTTTCCCTACGCACCCTCTCTCCTTTCATACCCTCACTCTCTTCCCATCCATAAGAGAAAAACCAAATTAAAGTGGATGCCTCCACTCCAGAAGAGCTCTGTCTCCCTCCCTCCCTCTACTCCATGGCCACAACAAAGCTAAACAACTAATGTGCTTCACAATGCATGATGACCACCACACAATAGATGATGATGAAGATTACAGCGTCACATATAACTTGGACGATGTGAAGGAGGAGACAGATGAAGAAGAAGAAGAGAACAATGAAGCAGACAACAGCGATCAAGTGGTTAGGTGGTGATGGCAGAGGAAAGGGGTGATTGGAGGGTGCAGTTACAGCGGGCCAAGTGGATTCAAGGACTTGTCTCCTCTCTCACCAACCTTCTCTCCTCTCTCTCTTTCCCCTCCCCGCTTTCTCCACTTTCATGCGTGCATGCTGTAATAGAAGGTGGTTTTCAGTCCCATGTGGTCAATGGAGTGAAGGTGAAAGAGGAGGAGCTATGGTGTGAAGGTGATGGTGTTGAGAAGGATTGAGAAGGAGATGGGTTAAGGATTGACGACACTGATGTCTCTGTTCTCCCTTGTTTTTGTTCTTATAAACAAAGACGGGTTAAGGGTCATATCGTTCACTTTGAAAGGTATCATCCACGAGATAACTAACAGGATCAATGGATCATGATCAAAACTGGAGAGGCATTGACATCCCTAGCATGTCTCCTTCTCATACAAAGTGAGTAGTCTATGTATAATGTATGCACACCCCCCCCCCCCCGGCGGTCATTGACGCATGCGGTACAAAGTAAAGCTTGTGTGGCCTTTTTGATATATATATATATATATATATATTGATGGTGTGAAGGAGCATAGAGTGGGGAGGGAGGGAATTGCTACAATTAAACAGGACCGACCGAGGATGTTATGTACAATTGGGAAGGAGAGGCGAGAGAAGCATAATGAGAGAGACAAGAAACAGAGAAGAGGAGAAACAAATGTTAAAAAAAGATCGGTAGGACCCACTTAAATATTTTATAATAAAAAATTTAAAAATAGGCCCTATTAGAAAATAAATGGAAGAAATGATAGAGTGAAAAAAAAAAAACATGTTTGAAGTTGAGGAATATAAATGATTTATGATTGAATTTAAAATTATTTGTGAATTTTTATATATAATTCAGGAGTAAAAATGATCCTTAACTCTTTTTTAAAAATAATAATATTTTATAAACGTCTCTCTATTTCAAATATTTTATTTTCAGCCTCTGTCTATGTCTTATATGAATTTTTCCAACGAGATCTATGGAAGAGATAATAATTACAATTTTTTCAGGTGGAACGATAGTTTAGGATCAATAAATAAATTTTATTTTATTTTAAGACTGAGACATTACGAAATTATAATTTAGGACCTTTGGTTTTTAAGTAATCAGATGAATTTAAGAAATTGACTTAACCACCTTTCTCTTAATAAAATTACGTAAATAATTTTGTTGGCTAATTGACTTAACCACCTTTTATGTTAAACTTAGGATCATAAGTTTTAAATTTTCACACCTCAGTGTCACGTTTGGCAAGGTAATTGTTAAACAAGCATTTTAAACCTTTCGTGTTAAAATTTAAGACATGAGTTGCAATTTATGATATGTTAGTATCAAAATTTTGAAGGTAATTGTGAAACCTCTGCATTTAGAAATATTGGCTAAACAAAAATTCTATAAACCTTTCATATTTCTTCTGCTCCTTCTCCTAAGACCTTTTTCTTTTTGTGAAAAAAAGATTCAGCTGTGACTACCGAATCGAATCGAGCTCGTCGTGAATTGGCATTGGCGAGTGAATGTGAAAACACTTGCGCTTTCACCAGCAAGCTGCAAGACACAATGTTAGTACTAATTAATCAAAAAAATGGGTCAAAAAGTTATTTAAAGAAATTATTTACCCAATTATGAGGCCCTTACAAACAAGGGAGTCATTAATGTTGATTGAGTAGTCAATATTGAATCTAATATATTCTGATCCTGAAAAAAATATTTTATTTGTAATCTATCATATCTTAAAAGTAAGCAGTTAAGTCTTGATTGAAAATTAAATTCATTAATTACATCTTAGGTGCAAGTGAAAGTGATATGTTTGATAAAGATATCTTCTTCAAAATAGATAATTTTGCATATTTTTTATAGATATTTTAGCATGAATATGCAAAAAGCCTTTATTAAGGAGTTTTTCTAATACTTGGATTTGCCAAGTCATGTTTTGCATTTGAAAGTATCTAGTCTTGTAAACAGAAAATTTTTAACTTAAAACTTTGTAACATCAAAATAATGACAATTAATGTTACATTCTCAATAATATTCTTTTGTCAAAACTCTCAAAGTTGATGGGTGGCTTTAGCTTACTGTAATTGCTTCCATTTGGAAAACAAAATAAAAGGGAACAAAAAAGATGAAGGACAACTGAATTTAAATATAGCCATTTTTTATCAATTATGGAAGGTACAAAAAGTATTATAGAACTATCTTCAGAATAACCCAATATGTATTTTATTCTGATGCTCATTACTAACTATAGTTTGGCCAAAAAAAAAAATTAGCAACTATAGTTTACTATTATTACTAAGGTTAGCACGGAGTAACTTCATTCTCTCTCTACTTAGAAACATGTGTATAATGTATATATCTATTGAAATTAGCTAGATTTAATTTAATTTTTTTATTTAATGTTTATTTTTTAAAAAATAAATAATTTTTAAAGTCAACTTCAAAAATATTAATTTAAATATAAGTAAACAGTAAAATTCTAGGATTAAAACGAAATTAGCAAGAAAAGGACGCGTCGATATCCTTACCTTCCCAACGTTCACATTCCTTCTAACTTAAAACGAAATACGACCACATTCTGCCCAATTAACATTCTCTTTACGATAATATTTATTAAATTCCTCAGAAAAAAATATTAGGTATAGTTTGATAGTGGCGTGCTACTTATTTCTACTTTGATCAACAGAAATGGTTTAAACAAAATTAACTAGCGTTCTTCTTTTTTTTTTTCAACACACATATATTTTTCTCTTTATTGAAGTATTTTTCTTTTCAACTTTTCTCTTTATATTTACACTATTCCATTAAACAAGCATAAATAACATGTTTCTCGGAATAATATTTTAATGAAATCTCATCGCTAAGAGGCCTAAATAGATATATTGTGCGCGCGCGCGCGCGCACGTGTCTGTGTAAAACTGATTTATTTGTCCCCGTGTCTCGATCAAAGTGCTCTTGAACTGTCATTAAACGTCTAGTTTAATTACAGACATACACTTTCCCTGAATAACAGGGGACCCACATTTTGAAATTATCATCCGATCAAAGGTAAATTCAAATATCAAGTCATTGCATAGCCTAGATGAAAATAAATTATCACGCGTGCGCATTTTCTCTTGGTTTTCAAGCCAAGAGAATCTTATGGTTACGTGCCTCGTAAGTAACACAGATATTTTATTGCTTTCTCACTTCTTTGCAGAGACTCTTATCACACCTCTCCACAAAAGGGCCTCTTTGATTTCTCTCTTTTACATTTCTCTTTGCCTTTTTATGCTTCTACTCTCAGGTAACATATTTTATTCATTTCTTCTGTTACTCTTTCAGCTGGTTTCCACTTGGATTCTATTATATACTAGACGAATTCTTTTCTTTCTGCTTACTTTTCATGTTGTGTGAATGAAAAAAACCAAATTCATTGAATTTTCTGCTCGGATCAGCTCTAAATCCCTTGCAAGATTAGTCAATTTATAGCACAATCTGCCAACAAATAATATTGTTAATAACAAAGTACTCCTGAATTTTGTATCATTTTCTTCAATATCCCGTTCATGCAAGCATTTTTACAAGCATCTCGTGGACAATAACACACCAAAAATACAATGAGAGCTTTGAACAGAAGCAGGAAAGTGGAAGAAGAGGAATGGCTTCCCTCATACCTGGAGTTCTACTTAAGCTTCTCAAGACGATCAACACTGATGTGAAAGTTCTCGGGGAACACCGATCGGTGCTTCTGCAGGTGATCAGTATTGTGCCTGCCTTATCTGGGTCTGAATTATGGCCTAACCAAGGTTTCTTCATAAAAGTCTCCGACTCTTCTCATTCAACCTATGCTTCACTCTCAAAGGAAGACAATGACCTAATTCTGAACGATAAGTTGCAGCTTGGGCAGTTCTTCTATGTCGAAAAAATGGAGGCAGGAACACAAGTTCCTGTTCTTGTTGGGGTTAGACCAGTTCCTGGAAGGCACCATTTTGTGGGAGATCCTAAGGATTTAATGCAGATTTTGGATCCATCAGAGGGTACTGTACAAGCTGAAAATGGAGTAGTAGTTAAAGAGAGTCAAAGTCCTGGGAAGAAGAAGATTGTTATTAAGGAGGAAAAGACTGGAATTGCATCCAGGTATATGCAGGGTGTTTCAACATCAATGAAAGTTAATGGACCAGATGGTAATGGAGAAAATAGAAGAAATGATTTAGAAAATGGAGGTGGTAAAAAAGTTGGGTCGGCTAAAAGAAAGGAAAAAAGAGATTAAAGATAAGGTAAGATTGTTGCCTTTTTATTTGAATTCAAGTGACACAAAAGGATATGGTTTTAGGACTTGATCATTCTTTCTGCTGGTAAAATCTGCCACATACAATATAAATCAGAATTTCTGGTGTTAATGCAGTGTACCTAAATGAAACAATCTAGATCTGGTCTAAGTGGGCAATCTGTAGACTATACATGTAAATACTACATGAAACACAATTTTGTCAACAGAAACTTTAGAAATAGAATTTACTGGTCATTTCATATTTTCCCCATCCAAATTCCAAACAGTGTTCCTAAACTGTGAAAGCGGCCGTAGCTCCATCCCTCAGGATTTAGGCTAGTTAGTCTCTCAGTCAAGAGAAATTAAGAAACTAGTTAACAATTTCATTAACACAAAACAAAGATACTTCTTTGCAGTAGAATTTGAAGGAAGTGACCAAACTTATGCTGAGGTTACTCTAAGGTTATAAAAATAACAATGAAGTGATAATGATTGAGCATCTCAGGTGCCTGCAATGATTCCAACGTGTGATCGACCTGAATCACTTTCAACAAAGCAAGAGACTTCTCAATGTAACATCCAGGAGACTATAGTGTCTTCTAAGAGCAGTTATTCAAAACGGAGTTCTAGCAAACAGGAAAATTTGGACTTGAACTTTTTCTCTAGCAGTAGAGATAAAAGCTACACGTCAGGGGCATTAACATGGTCCTCGTTGCCTCGCAACCTCTTGAAGCCTAACAAGGTGGATTGCAGCCTGATCCTTTATGATATGTTTGTATTATGGAGAATGGAAGAGAAGGAAAGGGAATGAATTGCCTCTTTTGATTGACATGTAAACGAAAGATTTTCCTTTCTTATCTTCTCCATAATCCAACATCCAAAACTTGCTCATGTTTGGCTAAACACCCCAATTAAGGTTTGGGAGGCCCAAACCTCAATTGGGGTGTCAAAAGCCCATTAGAAAGTTAAAATTGTGGTTAGTGAAAAAAATTTCTGAAAAGAGCTTTGAGGTGAAAAAGTTCGTTCAAACTGAAGCAAGGACAATGGACTTCTTCTGAGACGTGCTGGTAGTCTACGCAGTATCAAATTTAATCAAATTTTAACTTATCTTGGTTTTTTTTCCCTTATTAGTGCTACTTTGATGCTTCAGCAACATATTCACATGACTTTTTGCCTTTGCAATTTATAAACTCATTTCATGTTTTGTATCACCTTCTTGTCAATTTCAAAGGGAATGCTCAGAAAGAAACATTTAGCTTCTATGGTTGCAGTTGAAGCTCAAAGAGAAGCATCTGCTGCATCAGTCCTTGTCAAGTGCCTAAGGTATTTTAAGTTTTTTTATCTAAACTGCGCAAGTTATTTAGTTAAGGATAATGTTTGGATTCAGTAGAATGGATAATAAGAGGTTTGATTTAGCCGTTCATGGAAGCAGCAAATTTACTATCTGATGGAACCCACTTCTTCCAGAATTGATATTAAAACATAGATGATAATCCATAGTGTAGGAGTGATGGATTAAGCTACAAACAGAGATAAAAATAGAAGAAAATAACCTGGACAGCACTAACCGAAGCATAAAACCACCTCTAGCATTTGAGAGGCTAGCTGGCTAGAGTCTCTCCCAAATAACACTCACTAATTGCCTGCCCTCTCAATCCCCAGTCTCCAAATATATATAATACTTTCTCGACCACAACAGAAGACATTTTTTAAAAATTATATTTAGAATAAAATATAAGACATTAGGTAATTCTTATAACTTTTTTTTCAATTATACATTTACTTCATTTATTATTTTTTTTGAAAAAATAATTCATTAGAATTGTCATTATTAAAGCACTTGTATAAGGCATTTAATGAGAATATAATTAAAAAGATGAACAATTTTTTAAAATATTAGGATTTCAATTATTTTAAAAAAAAAATTGTGAAATAATTACCAATGTCATGCATTGTGGATGGCAATAAGTGACATTGCAGCAGCCCTCTTTCTATCTATTACACTCACAGAGCACACACAGTGCCCATATGGCTTAACCTCGGCCCATTACTGCAGATCCAGCATTCGGATGAGAGGGGAAGGAAACGAAGTGGGTTCTTGTACCAACGGGGAAAAAAAACGAAGTGGGTTCATGATGTTTTGAGGCATACTTTTAGCTTACGTCTTACGATGCCATTTGTACATGGATATCCCAACTTTTCGAGAAAAATGAATGTCCATTTATAACATTGAAAATTCTTCATATTTGTTATACTCAGACATCTTGTAGATGTTTCAAACTGCTTGGGAAACTAAAATTTCTACATACCAAAACACCACTGTATTTATTTTCTCCGTGTTTCCTTTTCAGCATTTTCGCCTCTCTCTGTTCTTCTGCAGCATCAGAGAATCCCCATCCTACTCTCAACAAATTCTTCGCCCTCCAACAGCTGATGGACCAAAGACACGCCACAACCTCATTAAAAGACAAATCATTTCAGTCAAGCAATTTCCCATCTCATGAAAAAACAGACAAATCTGGCAGAAAGACAAGCTTAGTCGCTGATAAAAATACCACCTTAAAGTCACCAAAACCTCAAATAGAACTATCACTGTCTGGGAAACTAGAATGGGCCAAAGGGGATGGTCTAAAAGAGGCAAATGAGTTGAGACAAATCCTCATAAAAGAGACAAGATCATGGTTTTTGAAATACTTGGAAAAGACATTGGATGCTGGGTTTTCTCCCTTGAGAACCCAAGGAAAAAAGGACACAGTCAATAAGGATATTGCTCTTACATTATTACACCTTAAGAATGCAAAGGAGTGGTTGGATAAGCTGAGAATCACTCTAGACTCTGAGAGTGAAGAGACGGTTGAGACTGTTGAGAGATTGAAGCAGAAGGTTTGCTCCTGCCTGCTGGTTCAAGTCGGTTCTGCTGCATCAGTTTTGGAGAAACGACCTTGAAATCCTGGATGACAAACTGGTCTAAAAGTATTTATTATTTATTATTCCTCTGTTGGTATTTTCTAACTTCAAAATTATTTGTTGTGGCAGAGCCAATTATTAGTAATGTAAAATAGGCCTGCTCTGTTTGGGATGTGTGGTGTTATTTATGTACTCAAAATACAAGGCCCTCTAATTTAAGCTACATGGCCCTTGTATCAGTGTTAAATAAAAGTGAATTTTATATTCGTGCGTTCAATCATCACCTTTTTGTCATTCCCACTTTTCTAATCAAATATCTTCCATATGACCCAACAAAAAAGGAAAGAAAATAATGAAGGTTCTTGCAGCACAAAGTCGAGATATGCAATTTTTTGCCGATTGAAAGTTGACACCCTCATACAATGCAAGTTTAGTCAGTGAAGCAAAACAGAAAACAGCAAGTTATTATAATGCATGTACTGACCTTGTGCTGAAAGACTTGGGAATTCTATCTCTACGTCAAACGTTGAAATGAGTAATAAGAGAGAGGATTCATGGTGGAGAGCCAGGGCACATGCTCAGATCATCAATACAGTTCAAGCATGTGCCCTGCTTCTCCAGCATGGCTCAGCCTCCCCCTGTTCGTTTTCTGGGGAATGTGAAAGACCACTAAAATTTGATCAGGAGTAAAACCTTGTTTAGTTTCTTAAACATGATTATGTTGGGTTATATACAAGCTAACATGTTGATAGTGAAGGTGGTGGTAGATTTTGTTACTTATCTTATAAAGTAAGCGTTTATAAAACTGCAAGCTGAACCAACAGTAGTTTGGTGTAAATGCTGTTGAAGTTTGGCAGCCAAATGGAAGAGGCGTCCAGGGAGTTGGACTGAAGGCAATGGTAAAGATTCCCACATATCACTAAATGCAGGAAAACAGTATTATTGTTTTTTAAATTCTATTTTCATTTTTTGGTTTTAACTTTAAAAAGGACAAACTACATTTTAAAAAAATATCTCAAATCATAAAGTTAAAAATGAAAATTGAACAAAAAATTAAACAAATCTTAATCATCCAAATCCAATCATAACAGTTAGTTGCTTGTACACTTGTACTTGATTTCATTAGTCAACTTGAAAAAACTCAGAAAACTCCTTAGATTTTCACTGTCATGATTACCGAAACAATCTAACCATTTGATCTCTTTTATGTTAAAACGTTACCTACTAAAATCGTACAAAAAAGCTACCCATTCTACAGTATGACAGGCCATCCACCAGAGCCACGTGGACTAGAGCAACATAAAAGTTAACTAAAATAGTTCTGTAATTATAAGTTGCAGCCGTCAAAAGGCATTCATCTGAAATACAAAGGCCGTGCAACATCGTCATTTCCAAGGACATTATACTATCTTGTACATTAAAATTTGCAAACCTAAGTATTCATTGAATTTTCAGTCTATAAACGAAAAACAATCGTCTCGATCCGGACAGATTTCATACATCTAGTGATCAACGGACTCGGGTTGTTTAGGATATGAAACACAAGAACGGCAAAAGAAACTTGCAACAGCATGCAATTCTCTGAACACAAGCCAGGATCTTTTAATACTGTCTCAAAGTAATATTCAATCGGCCGGGTCGCAGATTTGTTTCTTGCAGCAAAAGCTTGGGGGCAGTGTTCGGATGAATGACAGTTACGCCATGAAATATATCTCTGGATTTCCCACCAAAGATCAAGACATCTCCTGATTCCAGCACAACTTTCTGTGCCTTGTCAGGATCTCTCTCGTCACCAAATAGAAAGTCTGCTGAGTCTCCAATGGAGAAGGAAACCACTGGCAAGCCTCGACGAAGGCTTTCTTCACTTTCATCCTTGTCCTGAGTACAAAGATCATTAACTATAATAAGCAATACTCTTAACAAGTTGATAGAAAAAAGAACATAAATGGGTGCGTGGTTGGATTGAAATACAAGCAAGGAATGCTATTTGACGCTTATAAGTTATAACTTTTGTTCAGCAAGATTTTTGTTCTTTTGTTTTCTTTTCATCTTTTTGGGATGTTACTAATCCAAACTAAGTGACTTGAATATGTTTACAATGCTTGAATACATACCCGATGAAGACCCAAACGCCCGTTTTGTGAGTAGAAGTTTACAAGACATATGTCAGGTTCCATCGATGGAAGTGTCTTCTCTGGCTTGCCAGTTTTCGAATCTTGCTGTATGAGAGCTTGGGAATCCCTAATTGCTTGCTCAGTAATCTGAAGAAATTCAACAGGAATGTTGGGTGGCCTTGCTCCATCAAAGGGCCTGCGGTCTCCATACTCACTTGTCTGAGGATCCCAATTTTTACCCAGGCACATCATCTTCAGATGCAATTTTGTCCCTTCACGATAAGCAGGCTGGTAGAATCCCCCAGGACCAAGTCCTAACTGCCGGCATCTTTCAACTATTTTGACCTAAGTGTGCACTTAAGGGTTTTAGAAAGGAATTCATGAATGATAGTACCAAAAAAAAAAAAAAACATAGATCTGTAACAAAAGAGAGAAAGCATGAAGAACCTGATCACTTGATGAAATGTAACCCTTCAAGAGTATCATCCCAGGCCTTAATACAGTCCTACTTGTCGTACCCATATTGCGTTTGGTTTCATTCCGCTTTTCTCTATTACGTACAAGTAAAGATACTTTCAAAGAAACCAATCCAGATTCTTTTGGACGGCAAATGTCAAATGGTTCAACCAATGCAGGATTCTCTGTTTCCACAGTTTTATGGACAATAGTGGGATTCCTGCTCTCTAAATGTTCAACTGGATCACCTTGCCTTGAAGGTAGCTCAGCGTCACTCTGCACATTAGTACATTTTAACTTGGAGACATCAGACAGAGGTTTCCCAATGCTGCTTAGCTAGAAATTAAGAAACCAGAATGAACAGATGATGAAGGAATAACCTTTACAACCAATTTAGAAGCCGTTTCTCTGTCCAATTCCTCTGAGCAACCACTTGAAGTGTCAGGAACTCTCTGCTCTAGTTGACAAGTGGTCACTTTAACTGATTCATCATCTCCTTCACATGAGGAGGAGGAGGACTGCTCACAGTAATGTGAAGCTTGAGAACCATGACACAGCGAAAAACTACGGCCTGAATTTTGCCGATAACTTTTCCTTCCATCCTTTCCAGAACATGATTTACTGCCAGAAAATCCATCTCCAACAACCTACATAGAAGGCCAAAATTTGATATTCCTAACAACAATTCACTTATCCGTTCAATTTTGGGGCTTGCTTGGAGAGAATGACATTGGTAAGTATAAAATAAAGGACTCTAAATCAAAAAAGCATTTTGACCATAACGTAGGCGTATAAGCACGGCTCATTTGCATTCTTACCATGCACACCCTAGAGTCAAAACCGAGTAACAAGTTAGATGCATTAGAGAAACTTAATGTTGGAAAATAAACAGAATAAATGATTTTTCAGACTTCTTTTTGGTTTTGTTTTTAGTTTTTTCCCCTGCTACTTTAGAAATGGAACAGGAATATCAGGATACCAGAACAGTTATAAATTAATTTCTCTGATATCACACGTCGTTCTTTTTTATTAGCACACTTGTAACCATGGGATTATATGGCTGAGAAAATATTCAAAACAATGTTATCGCATCGCTGCAGTGCAACCCCATTTGCGTACCTTCAACAGCATTGAACCCCATGTTTATACTATAGAATCACCAAAAGAAGAACAAAACGGGAAAGAAAAGGGGCAAAAATTAAAGAAAAGGGTTAATTACTGGGTTATGGGGATGCTTGGATTGATCATTAGCACGTTGGGACCGTCGTATTGGAGAATTACGTCCTCGACTGTGTGGGGTTCGACCTCGTCCACGATCCATTGCCCTAAAGTACGAGTTAGCTGAAAAAACAGGGTCTTTTCGAATCAAAGCAGCGAAACTGAGGAAGGAAGGGAACCCCAACAAGCTTACTTGCGGGGCCGAAAAGGGCAAGAGTAGTGGAAATTTACAGGCCTGATCGTCAGGGAGATGCGGGAAGTTGAAAAGCTATCAAATATTTAGAAATTACACATTTTTCATAGAAAAATAAACACCACTAGTCCTACTTTTAAGATGTTTATTTAACTAAAAAAAGTTAAAGTTTATTAATTATATTTAAAAAAAAAAATTTTTAAATTTTATCTTTATTAAATATAAATAATTTTAATAGTGTACTTTATTTTATTATTATTTAATGAAGGATAAATTAAAAAATTTGTAATAAAAATTTAATGAGATTATTTATAAAAAATAAAAAAATTTATTTATGATAGGAAGAATATCGTTTCTTAAAAACGAAGGAAGCAAATATCATATTAATAATATCTATTTATTTTTTATTATTTGCTCCTCTCCACCCACCTTCTTCTAACCCCTTATTAAATTTGGGTCTTTTAATTTTAATTTTATATTTATATATATTAAACTAAAAAAATTAATAAATATCTGGACATTTTAAATATAATATGAGTTATCAAAATTTAATATTAAATTTTTTATAATTTTTATTAATTAATTATCCAGATATATTTTAGATAATGCAGATTTTTGTATAAAAATTATAAAAAAAATTAGCATTAAATTTATACCATCAATATCATCAATATATATTAATAAAACTCATAGAATGATATTGATTGGACAAATAAACTCCCACTCTAACTGGTCAATGCATTGATCTGATATAAATATCACATTCCGTTTGGTTGATTTCATTTAACATGTATCCAACTTCTATAGGTTTAGTCATAGTTTTGAACATGTTCGTTCCCCCCCAATTTTCAAACTTCAAATGTACGTAGAGACTGCCATGGAAGCATTAATTGATTACGCCTTCTCCATTTATGGCCCTATTTGTTGCACTTTTCCATGTTCTTCCATTGCACTGTTTTTCATAGCAATTGTTTAATTTCATATTTTTTACAACTCAGAGACTGTTCCATTTGCTCTTCTTTGCTTGCAGTTCGTCTTCCTCTATTTTTTATCAAGCAACAGATTTTTCCCCTTTAATCTTCATTTTCTTTTTTTTTTCTCCTGCCACGTTTTATCCATTAAAGTTTTACATTCTATGATCTATTTTATGATCTTTCAGCAATGGCATCGTCTTTTTTAACAAACGGTGGTCATGTTGCCGGTAGGTCCACCTTTCCTTTTGTCATCAGTTGTCAGGGAAAGGGGATCCACTTAGGTGTGTTCGTTGGTTGTTGCTGTTACCGTCAAGAACAGATATGTTCTTTTTTTTTTTTTTTTTAGAAACACAGAAACAAAGATTGCATAAATAAGAGCAAATCATGATTTAAGGTTTTTCTGAAGACCGGTGACATTATGCATTATTGATAGAGAGTTCACATTTGATTTGGTTTTTTATTCAAATTCTTAGCAAAAAAATAAATTTCACTTTAGAATCTTGATATGTTTTTTAGGTGGCAGTGAGTTTTTTTTTTTTTCTTTTGGCCAATCAATACCAAATTGGTTCCAGTAAAAAAGAGATGTGCTTCTGCTTCATTTTCTCTCTATTTTCTAGATATAAGCAATTTGTTTTTATGTCTTGATGTAATCTGCTGTTGAAGTTTCAAAAGCTTTGTTTTGTTTCTTTTCTTTTCTTTTTTTTTCTTTTTTTTTTGTTGCAGAATTGAGTGGACTTATTTCTTTGTTTTCTCAATTTAAAAAGCTTAATTGGGGCATGTTTGACAGTAAGGGAGAATTTATTATCTTAGATGATCAAACATGAGGCAGAAATTTCCATTTTTCTTTTGCAACGCTTCACTTCCACCTCCCTTCTATAGAGCAATCTGTGACCGCATCATGGTTTAGTAATTTGATATCCGCAATATTTTAAGTACCTTCTCATTTTGTTTCGTGGTGTTGTTTTTTCCTGTTTTAGTCAAGTCTATGCTATGGGTCACGTTTGACATAAGAATATGTTTATTGGTGCATTGAAGGTATCCACATGTAAACTTTGTAATCATGTTGTGGAAGTACCAAGTGCATAGGTACTTAGCTGAAGTTTTGCATTTATTAAAGTATTTTTAGAATCATTTTTTATCCTTAAATATAAAATGTTATTAGCATTTTTTTAATAAATAGATCATTATTCTTTCATTAAATTGGAAAGAGAAAAATATAAGTATTCTCATGAATTTATTTTAAAAAAATCATTTTTATTTACAATAATTATGAATAAAATTGAAATGTTGAGGTGCTTTTAATTAGATAATCAATTTTTATCAGTTGTATGATTTAATTAAAAACATTTATATATAGGGATAAAGGGAGTACATATCTAAAAAATTAAATTAAATTATTTCTTATTTCAATAATTTCATTAGTATAAAAATATATAAGAGTTGGCCAATATATATATATATATAAGAAAGTACAAAATTAATTAAAAAAATCAAGAAAAAAGCTACATTGATGAGAAAAATTTTAGATAAATCCATCAAGAAATCCATGCCTAATGATTATCCCCTCGCTTAACTTTTGGCATAAAACTATCTCTTCATGCTGATAAGACTCAAGTTTTGCCAAATTAAGCTCATAAAAAATAATATCCAAATTTTTTTTTGTAATATCTATTAATATATTAAAAATAAATCCTAAATTTTTTTAAAGTAAATATAATAAATTATAATAAAAAATTGACTTCTTTGTTGTTTGCCAGCCAGTTGAGATTTAATTTCCCATGAAACATGAATAACGGCAAAAGGAAGTTTTTTTAAAAAAATATATAAATAAATTTATTGTATTTCATTAACTCATGTTAATTGTTTTGTCCAAATTATTTGACATGTTCAATATGATTGATTAAAAAGTATTTGAAAAAAACAATTTAATCGTATAACACTGTCACCTTAGGTCAAGCCCATGCAACACACAGGCTCCAGGCTAGTTATTTTTAAAAACTTATCATATTATATGGAATTGTTATTAAATAAATAGAATTGATAGGCTAATTTTGTAAGATTGATTTATTGTCCTATATGATCTAGAGCACTGAGAGACCTCAAGTTTTGAAATTTCATATATTTTAAAATGATGCAGTCTATTTCCAAAACATTTTACAAAAGGCTTCTAAATGATTGTAGAAATCCGATCACCTTATAACACTATTGTCCCATAGATAAGATAAATATAATATATTGGACATGATGAGATCTAAATTATAAAAAAAGAAATACAAAAGATATAAATGCTTACTTTAACATCTTGAAAGGCTAATTCAATATTGTTGGATTCTTCTGATACATTTTTACTTGGCAATCTCCAAATATAAAACATCCTAGCCATATTTCGTTGTGTTGATGGTATGAATCGCGTAGATCTCAAATATAGAAGTTATAGATAATATAAATAAGAGTCGAGAGGAGATAAACCTAATGTAATTAGAGGGGTGAGTTGAACGCAAAAGTGTGAAATGTAGTATTAGCTTAACCTAGTAATTTATGATTGAATAAGGCTGAATGGAGAAGGAAAATTAATGGGTGATTTTTTTTAAAAATCAAGATGATAGATATTAAATATTTATTTTGTGAGTATAGATATTTAAGATATTTGAATTTTAACTAACTTCATGAGGGTCTTTTCAACATATTAAATTCTCCAAAATTTAACATCATAATATTCTCCATAAATAATGGTAGTTCTAAATACTTTATTATTAAATAGATTAATATCTATATTATGAAATTTATAATACATGAAATTTAAAATCATGAAATTCAAATTATTAAACAGATTAATGTTTATACTTTATTATATTTATAATTCTCCAAAAACACAAATTCCTTCTCATAGATATTTAAACAAATAGATATCAATTTAAATTTGAATTCTAGTATGTATATATATATATATTTATACTCGATCATATGAACTTAAATTTTTGACATATATTTAAGGTGGTTGAAAAATTTAAATAGATAAGATATTAATTTGAATTCAAATATGATCAAATTTGAATTATAAATATGTAAAAAAAATCTTTATATATGTCTAAAAATTAATAATTTATACTGTACCTAACTACAAATTTAAATAATATATTATATATATATATATATTAAACAATAATAAACCATCTTAGAACGAACTCCAAAGCACAAAATCTTAAGAAAGATATTTCAAAATACATAATTGTAATAAAGTTAAAAATAAATATGTGACATTCTTTTATCGCCTTTAACCCTACTTTTATATATATAATGATTATTGATTATGGTTAAAACTAAGTTAACCATATATATTAAATTAAATTTAGTTTTAACTTCTATATATATATATATATATGATACCCAATTCTCAACTAATGCCATAATATAACCAGCGGAAAAGCACGGGCAATTTAAGAAATTTTAAATAAAAATTATAAAAATGAAACCAGTTTTTAGTATACATGTATGGCAATATTATGAAATTGCTTCGGTATGTTTTAGAGCACATCCCCATTTAAAATAAATTAATGAGGCTAAATCTGTCATTTCCATGAAGAATTACAATTGACTAAATAAAATTCCTATGATTCAATAAATTCAATAAACTAAATAAACTCCAATTGATACATACATACATACATACATACATACATACATACATATACATAGATATATATATATATATATATATATATAAGCACTAAGACTAGTTTTATCTATATATACTTATATAGTTAGTTTATGTTGAATGTTGATAAGAGATTGTGGGACACTCAATAACATCTAACTAAACACATATACACGGACATAGCTTATCATGATGATTCAACAAACCAAGATTGGCCAGCATGACCCCTCATGATTCATAAGCCTAAACATTCTCAACGTATAACATCCTATGAGTACTGTTAATGGATCTCATTTTCATGCTAGCCATCTTTCATATCATTGATATTTGCTTATGTTGATTTCTTTTCGAACATGTTTTAATGCTTTGAGTTTAGCACTTTTTATTACATATGGTACCCTTTTAATATTTAATTATAATATTTGACCTCTTATAAGAAAGGGAAAAAAGGAGAAAAAGAAAAATGACTGCCAGACTCGTCCATGGCTGTGCTCAGTCCACACACAGAATTGAATGGCACTCACCTCCCTTGGCTTCAACATTCATTCATTGAACACTACTCCCCCAAGTTTGAGCATCATTCACAAATCACAGAGGTTGATTTTTGCAGAAGCTAGAGTGACGCCTAGAGTCGTGCTTGTTAGGACAAACAAGCAAGTCGAGGTTGAGGAAAATCATATATCAGAGATGCAAGATGTCAAATGCATGCACTGAAAGTAAGAGATAAACCATTGGAAGCCAAGCAGCAGCGAGCTTGGTGTTGAGCATTTGCAACAATTCTATACAACATGTGTGAGGGATAGAGTCAGCTTCCCTCGCCTCTATCTCTCCATTGAGGTAGAGGACAAATTTGAATTGTTCATATTAGATCTTTTTAATTTTTATTTAAAATTTGTATTTTGAAATAAAAATATATAAAAAAATTTAGTAAATATACTTATTAATTTGACAGTTTAGATTTAATATGTATGGTTCAAATTTAATATTAAAAATTTAAATTAACTTTTTAAATATATTTTAGATAGTATAAATATATTCCGAATAGAGTAATAAACTTATTAAAAAAATTTAATATTAAACTTGAAACACCCATATTAAACCTAGACCGTTAGATTGATAAATATATTTATTAATTTTTTTACAATTGTTATATATTTTTTATTTTAAAAAATATAAATTTTAAATAAAAATTAAAAATATATGATCTTAATTTGGATAGCTTAGAGTGGAGAGGCAGGGGAGGTTTCTCTCAATAGAGAGAAGCCAACTCTGTGAAGTATTGGAGCCCAACCAAAACCAAATTTCTCATGATCTTAAAAATAATGCTTTGACTTCTTTGATGCAAATACTGAGAAGTGAGAACAAGAGGGGCAGACAATCAAGCACTAGTAATTGCAAGTGAAATTAAATTCACAACCTTCCACTTATGATAAAATTTACATGTTAATATATTACACACACACTTACACACACACATATATATATATATTAATATATTATATATATTTTAAATAGAACCATTGGTAGGTTCTCGCCTTTTTAGGTTATATATATTTATATATTTATTCAATTTCAAGTGCATGCTTAATTAAAACACCACACCATAAACTAATCTTTCACCAAATACATCTGCAGCAAACCCCAAAATTTTTTTGGGTGCAATATATGATGTAAGATTTAAATTTCTTGCATGTGATGTCTTTTATATAAATTTGAGTACCATCCACTAATTATTAACACTAGCAACTAGCTCTTTCATTCTTTCTAACAGGCATGAAACTATGAGGATTTATGTTATGAAAAAAAAACTATGAGGATTTATTAAAAGAAAAAAATAGAACCTAATTTAAGATTTTGCAAAATTAATGGGATAAAATATTAATTTTCCCTTCTTATTTCTTCGAAACGCGAAAACGAAGATCTCGTCTGCTCTCGGGTCCATCTGAGTCTGATCCGTCGTTCTTCAGCACTTCATAGATCGGCAGCCGGCTGTATCACTACGGAGACAACGACCGTCGGCAATAGCTGAGCAGCTCGGCCACCGTTTGCCCCCCCTTCGCTTCTCATTTTGTTAGGTTAGCCCTTTCTTCCACTTTCAATGTATCCCTTTCTTTGCTTCACTCTTTATCTGCTTCACCCTTTTTCTCATTTCTGAGCCTATGATCATGGCATCTTCTTCATTGCTTTCATTTCTCATCAATTCTCCACTCTTCACTGCGAAGTTGTTCGAGAAAATGATAGAACTAGAAAATATTGGTCTTTTTAATGTTTTTTCAGAAATGAAGAGGGAAAGTGACAAAATTTGGATTCATGCGCCCATCCGTCACTGACAACCAGATATTTCTTCATTCTGTATCGCTAAAATTGATGATGCAAACGTATCAGATCCGAATAACGTAATAACACACTTGGTTTCAGCATCTCGTTTAGGTTGCGCTCGAAGAAAGTAAAACCTAATTACAAATTACAATGTCCACTCCGCATAACATAAGAAAATGAAGTGTTATAATCAGGTCCTAGGCGATGTTAATTATGTGGCATATGAATTATGGCTTGTATTACTTTCGTGTTGCTGCATTAGGCTAAGTGTTGGAGATTAGATGGGTTATCCGGAGCATAATATGGGTCCTTGACTTCTTAAGACACTGTATATATCATATCATCTTTCATAGAGGGCTTTGCTGAAAGAATTTGGTGAATTGAATGGGGCATGTTTAGGCCAATATAAAATTACTGCAGTTTGCTATTATTTATCATGGAAAGGACTGGAAGACAAGTTTCTGTTCTTTGAATTTCCCATGTTGTCAAAATAATCATGAATCAGCATGCCTGTTTTTGTGCTTGTTTGACTGTCCAAAATAAGATTTATAGTGGGTTACACTATTCCAAGCCATGGTCGGTGTGCTCATTTGTTGAAATCTGTGCTATGTACCTAGAAACGTGTCTATTAGGTAAGAAATGTAGTATAGTGATTGAGATAATTGTTAACACCATTTGCACTAAGGGGTCCTTTGGTGCTAGTACTGAAGTGTGGGCCAATATCTCTTAATTAAGTTTATTTGTATATTTATTAAAAAGAAGAAGCTAAAGATCTGTATATTTGTGCATTTTATCCTTTTATTGTTTCTATTCCTGAGTCTAACATGGTCTGTTATTGTTCATGAACTACTGTTGCAGTGTATTGTGCCTTAGTTGGAGAGTTCTGAGCAAAGAAGAGGGACGTGGTGAACTTAAAAAGATGGTTAAATTGACTATGATTGCTCGTGTTACTGATGGTCTTCCTCTAGCTGAGGGACTGGATGACGGTCGTGATATTAGAGATGCTGAGTTTTACAAACAGCAAGTTAAGGCTTTGTTTAAGAACCTCTCAAGAGGACAACATGAGGCATCAAGGATGTCAATTGAAACTGGTCCTTATGTTTTCCAGTATCCTTGTGCCTTTAGGTTTCATGACTGTTTTGTGGAGTGGTGATAGAATGGTAATTGCTTGGTTATTTTACATGTACCACCATTGTATTATTAAATACATCTAATCACCAAGGGTAACATCATATTGATATTTATTAAGTGATGGTATTCCCAGAGATTAACAATGAACAGTGATGAATTCTTGAGAATTATGGAAGTGTCTGTAGTGGTTGTTCTTTAATTTTCTATCTTGGTATTATGTTTTGTTCATGTCAAGGATGCTAGGCCTCCTGGCCATACACAATATACGCTGTACATGCATAATATATGCTTGCCTGAGGTCTTCCTTTGTTCTTGATAGCCATAAATCTATTGGTCCTCAACATTATAAGAGGCTACCATTTTTACCTTTTGTTTTGGTAGGTTGTTGTCTCTCATTTCCTTTGTTTATTGGACCAACACCAAATGAGTAAAACCACCTAGTGCTGGTGATACGCCCATTTCCTGTTGAATGATAATTAAGATAGTTACTTTCTATATAACTAGATGTGGGTCCCATGCATTGCAGAGTCTAAGAAATGAGTTGTGCTGTTCATGGCTTATGAATACTGTGGTTTGTTAGAGTTTTTATATTGATATGTTGATATGCATTTGCAAAATGTGATACTATCTTAAAGCTTCAAAACTTTGCTGCTTTTTCAAGTTTTCACAATACGTTCTTGTCTACAACTTTTTGAAAACTTAATATATGTGTGCGTGTGTATAGAGAGAGAGAGAGTTACATTTTCTTTGTGTTTGACTTGATTTAAAAGAACGATGATTGCCTTGACAATCCATCAGTTATATTATTGAAGGACGTGTCTGTTACTTGACAATGTGTGACCGTGCTTACCCTAAGAAGCTAGCCTTTCAATATCTTGAAGATCTTAGGAATGAGTTTGAGCGTGTTAATGGGTCTCAAATTGAAACTGCTGCCAGACCTTATGCCTTCATTAAGTTTGGTAGATATCACATTTCATGCCTGCTCTCTTCATTTGCATTACCTATCCTATTTTATTCATAGGATTGTTCTCATTTCTTGCTGGTGCTTAATTTTCTTTTTTTCATTTTTAATTTCTTAAAAAGACACATTTATACAGAAAACAAAGAAATTGTACCAGGACACCCATACCCAGCGCAATATTGCAAAGTTGAATGATGAACTCTATGAAGTCCATCAGATAATGACACGAAATGTGCAAGAAGTTCTTGGTGTCGGTGAACAGTTGGACCGTAAGATGTTAATCTATTATCTGGATTGTCTTAGCTTTTGCATATTTTTTCTGCTGATATCTTGTGCCACGAGCATACTTCTACAATTGATTTAAATGCTAATGTGCAGAGGTTAGCCAAATGTCCAGCCGCTTATCATCAGAATCCCGCATATATGCTGATAAGGCAAGAGATTTAAATCGCCAGGTTAGTCTTTTAGAGTGTAGTGTCATGCACACGATATCTAGCTTATATTGGTATTGTAGTCTTCCTTATTTGTCACTGCTGATTGATATCAATTGATTGTGACCTATCTGAAACAATGGTGCATTAGACCTTTAAGCATGACACACAAGATAGAGACAGGCACACACTAAATTTGAAAACTAGTAGAATAGGACATGGCATGGTGGATGGGTATGTAATTGCCATTTTATAACATATCGTTGTTCCATCTGTGTTTATCAATTTGGGAATGTAAAAGGAATAGAATTTTTTTAAAAAAGTGAATTTGCATCTGAACAATGTTTCTTTTTGCCCTGACTTATTTGAGGAAAGGTACTAGAAAGAGACAATTACTCTTGAAGAGTGATGACAGAAGTATATAGGAATCACACATTTTAATTTTTACGCAAGGAAAAGGGAGCCCTTCCTTTGCACTAATCAAACAGGGTGTTAGTCTGTTAGAGAAAAGAGACAATTTTTTTTTTTGGCCTGAAAAAAAGAGACAATTTAAACTTGCTAATGAAAGACATCATATATGTTCAATGCTCATTTCGATAAACATTTTGTATGTGCTGGTTGCAAATTACTTTTACTCTATAGTTAATTTTTTGCGTTCAGTTGTTGAATAGAATTATAAATTCATAATGTACACCAAAAAATAAAGAATTATAAATCTGCAATACAAATTTGTTTTGTCACATGACATGATGTATGGTTATTCATTTGTAAAATCCTAGGAACACGATTACATATGCCTTCTGTTATTTGGTTTCTCTGACGTTTCCATCAGAAGGGTCCACCGTTTCTTGTCTTTATTTACCACCTCTCTTTTTCCACTTCGTACAGATAATTCTGCCATTTGTTTGGAAGTGATCAGTTCCTTTCAAGCTTCTGGTTGATATCTTGATTGTAGTTATACACAATATTGCAAATATATAACTGCAAATCCGATCTTGAGTGTAGGCTCTGATTCGTAAGTGGGCCCCTGTTGCTATCGTACTTGGAGTTGTCTTCCTGCTTTTCTGGGTAAAATCTAAGCTTTGGTGATTGAGCACACAGTTCATACTGTATGATATTTTTATTCTGGCTCTTGCTGCTGTGACTCGCTGTTGTCACAACCATCCAGAGTAGCGCAGAATCATGGTTTAGAAACAAACAATTACTGTCATTTACATCTCATGAGCGTCAGTTTTTCTGGAAAAGAGACGTTTTACCTTTAGCCTAAGGAGCCAAGATATGAGAAAACTTGATGCCCCTTGGACGCGTATATGCATTTCTTTTCTTGTGCTTACGGCTTCTCCATTGTTTTCAGGATTGTTGTGTTAATGAGTAATATATGTCCCCTTAGATATTATTTTGGGTTTCCATGTGAATTCCAGCTGAATTGGATTTACAGGGAAGCATTTGAGTAAAAGATAATGGGCTGTTCTTCCTTACTAACATAATGGCAGTATTGGTAGCTTCAAGGGATTATATTATGTTTCGGTAAGAAAAAAAAAAGGGATTATATTATGTGGAAGTTTGATATGCAGTATCTCATGCTTGTCTGCAATTTCTATTCCACCTTAAAATGTTTGAATATATTCAATATATAGAATTTAAAATATATCCACTTTATATAACCAATTATATTGGAATGTTGATATGTGTGTATTCAAATATTCAGAACTTTCAAAATAAAGGAATTTTTAAGTCATTATCTGATTTATTTTCATTCTTAATCGTCAAAATTGTGAAAACTTGAAATAAACAAGAATATTGGCCTTTGGCATTTCACCCAAAATGAAAAAGGATATTGGCTATTGACTCAGTTTGAGGAAGATTTTACGGATATTTCCTTAAGTTATTATTTACTTGGAAAATAGCAGAAAAATCTTCTTAAAATATGTAAATGATAATGAAGACCTCACAAAAAATCATAAATTTTTTTAAAGTTTATAGGTTCTTTTTGATATGATTTTTTTTTTGGTAAAATGATTAAAATACTCCCAATTTGAATTAACGCAGCAGTTACTTGTTTTGATTTTAGTTATTATCAGGAGAAAAATAATCATTGTTTAAATTAAATTATTCATGGATATTGAAAAAAATTAATCTTTTAATTTTTTAATTTTTAAATCATTTGTAATTCAATCTTTCAATTATAACTTGTTATAGTTTAGCTTTTTAATTTTTGATTCACTTATAATTCAATTTTTACTTTTTAATTTTTTTAAATTATCCTTATTAAATAAGAAAGATAAAAGAAATATTTATATCTTATTTTAAAATACTCTCTCTTACTATTTGATGTGTGATTTAAGTTAACATGAAAAAAGAGAATTAACAAAAATTGAGGGAGTGAGCTATAGACAAGTCAAAAGTTGAGAGAGTGAGTTATAAACAATTTAAAATTTGAGGGATTGAGTCGCAACAAATGATAGTTGAGAGGCTAAATTATAAGTAAGTTAAAAATTAAATAATTAAAAGATTAATTTTTTTCATGAATGTTTATAACACTTGGACTTCAGTAAATAAAAAATTTATACTAGGAAAGTTGTAATTGGTTTTCTATTCTAGTCATTGCAAAAAAAAAAAATTAAATTAAAGTAGTCATAAATATTTATAATACTCAGATTTTAGTGAATAAAAGATTTATATAGAGAAAATTGTAATTGTTTGTTTCATTTTAATTTATGCAATGAGTATTTTTTTTTAACAATGATTAATACGGAATAAATAATTATTACTTTAATTTAAATTGTGAGTATTTTAATTATTTCAATAAAAATCATTAATATTAAAAAATTTTAGAAACTTAAAAACATCATGGCATTTTATGAATCTCATTTTCATTTGTATATTTGAAAAAAAAATTTTATATCATTTTTTCTATTTGCTTTACAAATATTCCTTTTTTTTTTTTACCAGACTTTCCAAATATTACTTTGGAAAGTATTGCAAGACCTACAAAAGAACAGGAATATTTTTCAAAACAGGTATTCGGTGAATAGGATTATCTAACAATAAATCATGTTTGATATTGGATGATTGTAATACCTAATTTTGAGTAGGAATAATTTTCTACACAGATTTTGTATTTCAGCAATCATGAAACAACTAGACTTAAGCATTGCATGGAATGATAGCCAACAATAAAACAATGGTTGACACAGAATGTTAGAGGTCGGCGACTTCTATTTAAGATAAGTAGCTATAAATCCGACGATCTGAAGCTTTTAATCGTTGGATCCAGTAATGAAACAACGACTAGAAACAAAAATCGAAGCCCTAGATTTGGTGATCAGTCGTCTAGCACGATGAAAATGAGAATTACTTTCGACAAATCGAGAAATTGAATGCAAAAAATCGAAGCCTTCGTGGCTATCAATGATTCATGCTTCGACCTCCTCCCTATCGGCCGAGAGGATGCTGAGTTCAATGGGACGATTTCCTTCCTCAACGTCAGAATAATCTTTCACGGCATCACATGTGACATGTGGAGGATGCCGCATGCTAATTTTTAGAAGAGTTAATCATAGTTACTGCGACATAACTTGATTCTTTTTCAACGTGGGGAGTAACTTTGCCAACAGAAAAAGTTATAAAGATTAAGTTGTAATTGAGTTAAAAGTAGGGAGACTATGATTACTTTTTTCTTTTTTAGACTTGTTCTTTCCATCAATTGCCAATTACCATAGAACTACAATGATGTTCCGGTAATTAAAGGAAGGAGATTGATCTTAAACTCTAACCGTGTGCAAAATGCATCGACTTGAAAATTATATGTCAAAGAAGTGATTTTATTGAGAACAGTACACAGGTAATACAATCCCAAAAGAGTTTAGCAATGCAAGCGGACTGTCCAGTCTTTTTATACATTCAGATATAGGAAGCATTCCTTCAAAGGGCCATATGCTGAGTACCCAAGGGAAGTCATCTTGAAATATTTGTGGTGACAATATGGAGATTTACTTGCAATTTAGCTACACGAAACAGCTTGATGATGCATGTACGTCCAAATATAATTCCAAACCAAGCACAATTCACCGACCTTGTGTTACCCTGATTGATTTTACCTGTAATTGTTAGGTGCAAACAGGATGGAGGAGTTGTGTCCTCCAAAACCAAATGAGTTTGAGAAAGCCACCATGATGTTCAAACGTTCCTTCACCAGACCAACAATGAAACTTGGGTCCTGCTTCAAGGTAAGTTAACGCACAACTTTTATGTATTAAAGAAACCCATATAACCAAAAGTTATACCAGAAGGGATAAGACCAGACCACACTAAATCAGCTTTGGAATCTAAAATTTCCCCATTGAAGATGAGAATCTTAAAAACTATTGTATTATATCTCGACATACTACATCATGAGATCTAAAAACAAGAGAATGTTAGATACCAAACACCTTTTATGCTGTTGTCCATTATAAGCTTCTGGAGAAATATAAGCACCATGCATTCTATTGCATGCCGATATTCGGGAAAACTGGTGATTGGATTCAGTGGAAAGGACTTGATTCTCTTTAAACAAGATTGGGGGTTCAAATCTTGTGGATGAAAAAAATATGTTGAGAAAATTATACGTAATTGAATTTAACAATACTCAAATCATACTAGATACTACATACTAGTTAATGATGATGATGAAATATTAAAATGAACGGGGGTTTGAAGGAAACATACCACATTTTTGTCTAGGTTCTCAAGGTTGCTGTTTGGACTTTGGATGAATCCATCCCGTCTTTATTGCCTGCAATGTCAAGAAAAAGCACTTTCTGAATACAAATAGTATCCAGAGCATCAATTTTTATCATTCCGTAACATGGTAGTTATCGTCATTAAACACTAAAAGGCATCATAGAGTATGGGAAAAGACTCGTATAAGGTTTTTTAAGGTGAATGCTGTCAAATTCTCTGAATAACATGAAATACGTGGGAAAAATTTCAAACAATCAATCATGTATTGCTGAATTATAAAAGCTATTAATGTGTCAGTTTTATTGAAGAATGTGATAGTAAATATTACAGAATATGATAGTAAACTACAACCAAGTTCCCCCTCCCCCTTTCACGCCATATTAGTCTTTTACAGAAGATATATAAAAGCTAAACATCAGAGGAGTGATTTCACCAATGATTACCTTAACTATTGCAACAGCTTCCACACCCCCAGACGAACCCAGTAAATGACCAACCATAGATTTTGTGGAGTTCATCCTTAACTGCAGATCATGAAAGCTTATACTTCGTAATATGCGCGCGCGCGAACACACATTTTGATTGTCTGAATGAAAGTTCATTTTTACTTTTACCTCTGGGTTCTTTCCAAAACATTGAATTATAGCTTCGTATTCTTTTAGATCACTCGATGGTGTGCATGCAGCATGTGCATTTGTGTAATTTACATCCTTCTTGCAACCTCTGATTGAGCCAACGCCTTTTCCATACAAAGAAAAATGCCTCTACAAAATTGCAGACACATATTCTGGCACTCAGTAGAAATTTATTTTCTCATTTTGATATGCTTGACATACATTTTAGTACAATGTAATTTTGACTAGTTTATATATCTATATATATATATATATATATGATTGGCTTGTTGATCTATTGTTTTCTTTTGTAAGAAAAAGATTGGGCATACCTAAAATTGTCCTTCCAAGAGCATGGAAGTTATCATGGCCTTTTAATTTGGTGAAGAAAAAAATTCTAGATGTTAATCAAGTTGTTCTAGTTCCAAAGCAGAGTACATTGTAATTGGTGGGTGCTTATGAACAAGGAATCACCAACTAGAATTGAATTAATATCCATGCAATTCTGCCAATTGAACCAATGTTTGCCAGCCTCTCAGTTTTTTTTAACTAATAAAGGGTTGTGCTAGTAACTTTGTCTATTTAAAAGATGACACATACAATACCAGTAGATAGATGAATGAAATGAAATTATTGATGAAAAGGGACAAACCTGTTGGATGATGCTTTCTATAACTTGATACTTACCATCAGTATGAGTCTCAGTAAAATGATATGCATCACAAGTGAAGCTTCCTCCAAGAAATTCAGCATATATTGTTGCACCTCTTCTCTAGGACATTGAAGAGGAGAACAAAGTCTTAATTCTTTCATTTCCAGATTTTAGGTCTCTAATTTTTTTTGAAGTTTCTGAAACAAATCTTGGCATGCTCTAAGTAAGACCACCAGCTCCTTCTCCTAAAACAAATCCATCGCGATCCTGCTCATTGGATATTGCATCTTTATTTTAGAGTTGGGATCAAAAGACTCACAAGCATATCAAGCACATTTTTTTTTTTTAACAGGATTCACCTCTCATACACTAGCATGTCTAAACATATCATTAAACAACAAAACGAGGACACATTTAATAAAGAACATGAGGATGCATTACATTGTCCCATGGACGTAAAGCCTTTGTTGGCTCGTTATTCCTCTTTGAAAGAGCTTCATTGCCACAAAACCTCCCATGCCTGT